GCACATCTTGAATATGCACAATGCCAGTTATTATCGAGTAATTAGCTACAGTGAGCAGCACCGTTTAAATTCTATCAGACAGACCTCTATTTACTTATTGCACATACATATGTTTGTAGAATCTCTTTAAATGAAACTTTTCATCTTGTGCTTCGTCAATTGTTCTATGCTTTATAGGTTTCTATTCTTCTGATTTGTTAAACTGTAAATATAACTAAATTGTAAATAAAGTATATATGGACAATATTACATGAGATTTAGCAGGAAAACATTATCATTATTTTTTTTTGTAATATGATATGGCTTAGGGTAGATTATATAATAGATTCTTTTGCTTTAAAAAAATTTTTTTTAAACTATGTAATATACTTAACCATATTCAGTAAGTATGAAAATCGTTATTGTTGGTTTATATTTGGTTGAATTTTGATTAATTTATGCTATTACAGCCATAGAGCCTAATCATAATATGAGGTTCTTGCACTGCTATTGTAGTTGCAGTGCTTATTCACTAAAAATGAGGTTCTTGTGCTGCCTGCAGTAGTCATAGAGCCTAAATACAATATGAGACCCTTGCATTGCTATTACAGCTGCAGAGCCTAACCACAACACGAAGTTCTTTAAGAAGAGCTAAACTGGATTAGCTCAGAAAAATATAGGTAATACAGATATCAAACCACACTAATATAATCTAAATCAACATATTAACAACCAACTCTATTTGAACTCTAATATTGGAAGGCAGAAAGAAGGCATAGAGAAACTTGGTCTGAGTTATTAGGGCTAAATAGAGTTCTAGACTATGTTACAAAGCTCTAATTTAAGGTCATAGGATTATAAGATTCACTTATCAGGAGTAATTAGTAAAATGTTAAAGTTAGAATAGCAAACTCTTAATTGAGTTGAACTCTATTGAGTAATGCCAACTTTGAGTTTATCTAAACTCTTAGCTAGCTACTTTATTGTGAAGTCAAAAGACATCATTTTATAGTTTTACATTCTTATGAAAATACAGGTTTGGAAGTTAAATTTATTAGCAAAAAGGCATTAATATCATAAGTGACATTAGTGTCATTAGTGACATTTGTGAAAGAAGTACCATTTATTGATGAAATATTATTAAGAGACAAAGTGTTATTTGTGGAATTAGGGCACTTATGTCACTAATAACATAAGTGACAGAAAGGAAATAAGTACACTATACTAATGCTAACTAAATTTGGGTAAAGTAGTAAGAATCAACCTGAGCCATCTTAGCATTGATCAATCTATTCATTAGTATACCAATTTCTCCAAACTTGTATATATCTAGCCTACTAATAAATTAAAAAGTTATTTCTAACAATAATCGACACTTTTATACTATACACTTCTATCATAGTTGTAAAGCTTAATCACCAAATATAAGGGTATTGCACTGCTTGTGACAGCCATAAAGCCTAATCATAACATAAGGTTCTTACATTACTATCATACTGCTATCGTAGTTACAGTGTCTAATTATCAAGCATGAGGTTTATTACTGCTCGTAGCAGCCATAGAGCCAAATCACATAAGATCTTTGCATTTCTAACACATTTATAGAGCCTAATAACAATATGAGATTTTTGTATGCTATCATAGTTGCAGAGCTTAATCATCAAGTATAAGATCTTGTACTGCCTACTGCAGCCATAGAGTCTAATTACAACATGAGGTCTTTACAGCCACAGAACCTAATCAAATATAAGGTCCTTGCACTGCTATCATAGTTCTGGTGCTTAATCACCAAATATGATATTTTTGTACTACATATGGTAGCTATAGAGCCTAATCACAATATAAGGTTCTTGTATATTATTGCAACCATGATGGTATGAATTCTTGCACTGCTATTAGAGTTATAGTGCTTAATACTAAATATGAAATCTTTACATCCTGCTGCAGCCATAGAGCCTAATCATAATATGGGTTCTTGAATTGCTATAGCAGGCACAGAGCCTAATCACAACATAAAGCTCTTGTACTACCATTGTAATAGTGGTGCTTTATCACCAAACATGAGGTTCTTTACTACCTATAGCAGCTATTAGTTATATATACAGTTGCTACAATTATTCATAATTGATTTTCTAAATACTGAAATAATTTTTTCTATTTGAGCTTTTAATTAAAGTTTTTCAGAATTAAATTCTATTTATCTTATCTTATAAGTCGAAAGAATGATACTTTCTCTAGAGCAGAATTTCAAATTTTGTTAATATTATAACTAGTTATTAGCTGCCAGTTATTAATTAGTTATAACATTAACAAATTTTAAAATTCTTAGTTTATAAGAAAGCTTTGTTCTTTCCACTTATAAAATGGGATAAACAGAATTTAATTCTGAACAACTTTAATTAAAAGCTCAAAAAAAAAAAATCATTCAATATTTAAAAATTAACTATGAATAAGCATAGCTTTTTGCAACTGAACATATCCCTAGCAGCTATAGAGCCTAATCACACTATGAGATTCTTGCATTGCTATCGCAGCTGCAGAGCCTAGTTGCAATTTCAAATTCTAATTTATACAATAAATTTTGGACAAGTTCCATGGCTTTAACTAGTCTCAAATAGTGTTTAATATCTTAGATAGTCCCAAAGTCCCAAACTAATTAGGTTTAGATAGCAACTATACAAATAAGATTCTTGCACTGCTATTGCAGCTATAAAGCCTAATCACAATATGGGGTTTTTGCCTTAAAAATGATCTTACGGCACTAGAAATTTTTTTTGAGTAAACTGTAAATAAAGGTTGTGTAACCAAAACAATCCAAATTTGATTTGCCGCTAATTTTAGATATGCTGATCATCGATCATTGCATTAATCAGCCCCGCGGTAATTATTAGCCGATTTTGAGCAAGATTTGTAAAAAAATTGGCACTTTTAACTAGTATTCGTCTAATAAGTGTAGTTATAAAAAATTATTTTCTGTAAATTTCTAATAGAAATCTATTAGTTTTTGTATTAATTTTTGAGTAATTTAGATCAGAACGACCAGCTAAATTTTCACCACACTGATCAGTTCCTAATTCCAAAATTATAAGGTGCAATTATTTAGAGAGTGTGCAAAATTCAACTAACTACAAAATGTTAAATTACAGATGCTTGCTATCTTATTATGCTTAGATTTTTTGAATTTAGCTCAAAAGTTGAGCTGTTTTCCTCTACCATCTCTATTTTAAGTTTTTTTATAAGCTTTACTTAAACATTCATAAATTAAACTATTCTTACAATTTTTATTGAATGATGTTTAGTCCACAGTCAAATTTTATATCTTAATTACTTGCTTGTAGGTATGTAACCTGCTCAATTTTTTTATTTTTTTATAGTACAAAAATTAAGCACGTCACATATCTAGATTAAGCTAATGTTGATTATGCTAAAGGAGGTGTGGTCTATCGGGTATTATTAACAAAAAATTCGCATTACTTTATGCAAAGGAGAACTTTAACTAAAGTCACGTGATGAATTTCTGACGAGCCAACATTCAGTAAATAAATTCAGATAATGGGTTTTAAAATAAGAAAATTGAAGCAGGTCATATATCTACTTACTTGTCTTTTTTATTTTCATTGTTCATAATTTTGTTCCTTTCAAATACTTCAAAATTAGAGTTCAGGATGCCGCGGTAGCAGAATAAATTCTGCAAGCAGTATAATAAATTATTGGTGGATATAGCTCATTGTGATAAATTGGGATATATATTTTTTTTATTGATTCTTTTTTATGATTTTGGTTTTAAAATATTACTTACATATTTCTGCAAATTTAACAGCAGAATTTTTTAGGTAGAGCAGCAGAATATTTATCATATTCAATCTTGTATACTCGTTTCCTAATTAACTTATAAAGACTGGATAAGTAATTATTACATATAATTTTTTTTAATTGTCTTTATTAGTGTTATAAATTTTATACAATGTTATTAAAATAAACTTTTTTTAGTATTAAGGTTGCGGATATAAAATATCTTTATATGGATTATTAACATGTTGACGGATTCTTGTATATGGGTATTTTTTATGGTCATCTGATAATGGCACAGTAGGAATAGTATTTAATTGACTATTTTTATCAAAATTGTTATTATGTAATAATAGAAAAGAAGTTTCCTCTCCACCCGATTTTTTTGAAGCATAAACCTTTCCAATTTCTAAGCAATTAAATCGGAAGTGATAATACTGTGTTATATTTGGCAAAGGTTTAAAACTATTTTTAAAAAAAGAACTAAAATCGTACCAAACCCACCCTTTATCATTTTTATATCGAATTGCATTATTTCCTTTTGATGAATCATTAACGATATTTTCAAAATTATCTACAGTATTAACACGATTATCTCTATAAACTTTTTTAATCTGCCCAAAAAATGAATCACAAACGAATTTCGTGTGCCCAGGAAGCATAAAATTAACGATAATTTCCTTATACCAATTTAATGAACACAGCCAAGACCAAAACCAAAGTGATAGATTATTTTTATTTTGTCCGCTACAGTTGTCGCAAGTAACTTTTAATTTTTTTGTTTTTTTAGAATTTTGAAGAAAATGATAAACCATGTTTAACGTAGTATTAGCACCTTTTGAAACCCCTTTGGAAAATTTGTTTTCACCCATTAAAAAATTTAATTGATAATTTTGTATGCCAGTTTTACAAGTACCAAAAATATGTACGGAAAAAGGAGATTTAAAATAGAGCGAACCTACTTGTTGTGGCGAATATGGTATAGAAATACTTTGCGCCTAATCATAACAAATATGCGTAACATCTAAATTATTTTTACTTTCTTCAATATTATTATTATAATGTTGTCTTTCAAGATCTGCGGCTGCCTTATGTTCATCATATTCAACTTGAACTTTGTTATATTCGTCAATATCTTGCTTAGCGATTAATAATTTAGCCTTAAAAGAAATACAAACTTTACAAAGATCACTTGCATGTGGTTGAAATCGAAGGTTAGGAACCATTTCATACTATAATCTTCTAAAAGTAAAATAAGAAATTATTTTTTCTGATTGATCATGAGTAAGATAAAAACTTTTTTTATATTCATTATAAACCGAAACATAGGTTTGACCAGTTGGAAGATAAATAAAGATACCCGAATCGTCTTGATGCCGTAATGAAGAAAGAAATTCATGAATTGCTCCATATTGTACTAAAAATTGTTTAATTGCAAATGTTATATTAAAATCCAAAAAAACTCTTGATTCCATTTTAGATGCATGTCTGGTATTTCTATGAACACGTTCAGTTAATTCGTTTGATTGTAAATGATTTTGTAAAGTAGAAAGTAAGTATTCATTAATTCTACATAATTTTAAATACACTGGCTTACAAAGAGGTAAAGAGCTATTATAGTTATATTTATATGTATGTTTTTTTAGGGTTTTATTATCTGATTTTTCATCAGTAAGTTCAAATGACATTAATTGTAATTTTATAAAAAGTTCAAGTTCTTGTTCTTCTAAAGCTTTTAATTCAAAATGTCTTTTGAAAAAACATTTAAATCCTACTTTTTCAAAACATGTTCTAAGATCTTTTTGTTTTGGAGTTCGACGGCATGTACAAATACTAGAATTTTGAAAAAATGTATTTAAGTCATGAATAATATCAAGAACTAGTTTATTTTCTTCATAGTTATCTAATTCTAATTCAACCAAATTATAAACGGGCTTTAAAGTATTATCAGTTGATTGTTGCGGCATATATTTTTTTTAAAAAAATAGGTATGGTACAAGGTTTTTTAAAAATAAACTATATACTATACATATAAGAATATTAAACAAGAGCCAACTAAAAGTAACAAATACTTAAATACAGATTATAAGTTCTATTAGTATTTTCAACTATATAATATATCATACAAGATAAAGTACGTATTAAAAGCTTGAATTAATAAAAATGTGTATGCATATATACACGTATATACGTATAATAACTTAACAATACTACCTACATTATCATTATTAATAGAACAGGTTATATACGTATATAAATTTACTTCTAGCTTTAACAAGATATCGGCACCTCTTATATTTGTACGTAACATTCTATATCATATAGCTAGAGTCATACTTACAGCTTTGATTTTATATATTTAGCATTATATGTATACTTGTCAAAAAGTTCACCTGCAAACTAGACGCATATTAACCATCAATATGAAGTTTTGATAATTACTAGAGTAATAGGATTTATCAGGAATTGGATTCCTGAAGAGATTAAAGCTGTCTAAAAGAGGATAAAAACTATCTTTAAAACTATATATATATTAATTTAATGCATTTTATTTATGCTTCATATCATAACTGTATTACATTTGTCTATATACATGTATGTACAAATTAAGAAATGCAACAAAACTAATATAGGTTGTTCTTAAATGCCTCCTTTAGTAAATAAAATAATCTAAATGCCAAAAAAAAAGTTATGCACGGTGCCACTTAAAGTTGCAAAATTTTTCCATAGAGTTACTCTGATTTGAATTCGCATTTTATAGAAAGAAATTGTTATAAGGATTACTTCAATGATTGAGAACGTCTTCAAGATTCTAAATTAATATTTACTATATATTGTGAGAGAGAAAATTGTTTTAAGATCGATGCTAAGGTGGCTTGGGTCAATTCTGTAGAATCTGCTATTTTTACCATATCTTTTCAGATCGAATAAAAAAAGAGTATCAATTAGTAATCAGATACTTCTTTATATATTATATAAATACTAATTTGAATAAACATGTGATTAAACCTTATTATTATTAATATAAATACTTACGTAACCTGTTTGAAATTGAAATTACGAGATAATCATGAATTACAATTCACGATCAGGAAACCTAGCATAGCTTGAAATAAACAGTATATTAGTATATTAAGCAAATAAAAGTAGTTAGAAGAGATACTAGAGAAGAGAATTCAAGCCTTAAAAACTAAAATACTTAATATTTGTCTCGTAACTGTTGTAATAAAACTCGAAACAAGTCATTACCGGTATATGCCTCAATCAAAGCCTTACCATTATTGGGGTTTAATTACAGATAATTATAGTTTTGATATAGTTAATGTAATAAGCTATCCCTATTTTGACCTAATAACTTTTCTGACACACCTCTCACTTTTGCAACATAGGCAAGATCAATTTTGCTGAAGACTCTGCAGTGATTGTAGTATAAATTCCTAGAATTCTTAGAATTCTTGGTATTTGAATGATTTTTTGGTTGAAGTTTAGATAAAATTTGTAAAAATGTTCATCAAAGACAAGAAATAATTGGTAGACCTGTTCTAGGAAATATTGGAGAATCAGTAAGATTACTAAACATAATAATGTTGTTAATTTCGCCTATAGATTCTTAATATAATTGAATCAGGTGCTGAAAAGAATTGGTTTATCTATATGGTTAACACATTTTTCACAGAGATATGCATAACCTATTTTTTTTTACACTAGATATTTGAAAGCTATTAAATATCTTTTTTTGCCATGACTTTTCTCTATCAGATATACAACTATTCAAAATTGTGGTAACAAGAAGAGGCAAGATAAAAACTTGTAATTTTGGGTACTCGAGTCGTATACTATCATCATCACTATAACCTAGAAATGGGGAATGCAGATAAAAGTTAGAATAAATAGAATAGCAAATTCATAGTATTTTGTTGTATGTAAAGATTAAATGGGCTTGGTGCTGAGAAAAGGGACGAAATTGATGAAAAAAATTCTTCACAAAAAATTAATTATCTAGAGAAATGTTAATCAGAATTGTATGATTTTGGAATCATTTGATTCGTCTTGATAGAATGGTACCAAAATCATACAGTTCTGATTGGATTGACATTTCTCTAGATAATTAATTTTTTGTAAAGAATTTTTTTCATCAATTTTGTCCCTTTTCTCAATACCAAGCCCAAATATATTGAAGAAAGTTCCCCTTCGAAATAAAAAATAGCTCTTGAAGCCTAAATTTCAAAGCCTTCATAGCAAAAGTAATCCAAGCAGTGCTTTCCTACTTCGTTATAAATCGGTTATCATATTATCTTGTACGTATCGTTATCATCGGCAAATCATTTTTATAGTAAATCTAAATTTGTGTAATGATATCCCGTAGGGTCATTTTCAAGGCAAATTTTTGGTAGTACAAATTTAACAGTAAAATATTTATCCGCTATGTCGATCATTTCTATTCTATTTTTAGATCTTCAAAAAATTTTCCCACCAAATTTAATCCAAAGATCCGGACTTCGATAACTTATTTTGATATTATATTAACAGGGTATAAAATTTATACAAAATAAGGTTTATGCTTTATAGATTAATGTTCGACAAAAATCTTATTTTTGGTTTTGGGAACCCCGGAACCCCATTTTCAAGGCAAAGACCCCATATAGACAATATAAAGTATAAATTTGCTAAAATTGTTGTTATATGTATCAGAATAGATATATTAGTAGAATTAGATTGCTATAGTATATAAATATTGTAATAATTATTAATATTTGATATAAAAGCTTTTTTTAAATATTTTAAAATGATATTTTTTACTTATTTTTTTATAAGCATCTAAAATATTTTTTTTTTAATCAATTGCTTTTGATATTGTAGTTATATCAAGATTTACTATTGTATTTAAGCTTTTATTAGTTATATTTACAGAATTGAGATAATATACTATATTGAACTAAAAAAATTAATTTTAGTATTATTTAATAATACAAAAAAATAGCATATACAGTCAAACCTCTCTATAGTCACCTCCTATATAAGCACATTTTCTTTATAAGCTTGTTTTTTAAAAAACTATCTATTGTTAAATATAATAAATTTGACCTCTATAATTAGCACACTTCTCTATAATCACGCTTTTTTGTATCCCGTGGGTGTGACTATAGAGAGGTTTGACTGTATATACTATTAATTTTTTTATAATTTATAGTTTGCTTATTGCATTCAAGTAGTCTAGCTACCAAATAAAGTTAATTAAAAAATTTTTTACACTTTTATTTGTTTAAAATATTTCTTTTAGTTTATTATAAATAAATAAAACTTTTTTTTTATATATTTTCTTTTATAAAAAATTCTTGTCATAACCTCTATAATTATAATAAAATTGATTATATTTACTTTCTTATTTATAATTTTCATACTTTTTATTATTGTTCTTATATCTTTTTTTGTAACTTCTTCTATTTTAGTTTACTTTAACTTCTTCAACTTTTTAACTAAAACTTTTATTTATTTGGCTTCTTTTTGTAGTAGATTTTCTACAAAATTTATATAATAAATATAGTATAATTTATTATTTTTTGTTTATATTATTTTAGTTAAACTATTATTTTCTACTTTTTTTACTTTTTGTTTTTCAAAAAGTAAAATTTAATTAGTCTAAAAGTTCCGCAATTTATATAACTCTTAAAATTAGATATTTTTTTAATAGGCAAATATATTACAAAGATTAAAAGATTTAAAAAGATTTAACTAATATTTTTATAGTATAGAACAAAAACTTCAAATTTTACTTAATATGCTTTGTGGGTTACAGAAAAAATAATCTATTTAAGTTTCTGAAAATAGTATTGTAAAATATATAAAAAAAATTTTAAATCCATTAAATTATTTATATAATAATCTACAAACTTGGGTATACTTAGAATAGTTCTATCTATTAGAGAGTATCTAGAAATAATGGTATGCAAAAGGAGAATGAGATCATATAAAAAATAATATTTTTTTTAATAAGAAAGAGAAAAGTCAAAAAAAATAATATAATTTTTTTATAAAAAATGGTCTAACTTTTGGTCTAGTGGTCCAAATTAAATGATTTTGATACTATTTGATTTGTCTTGATAAGGCAAATTCAGTGATATCTAAATTATTTTATTTGGATTACTATATAAAAAGTTATTTATAAAAAACTATTAGATATATTATTTAATATAAAATTACTATAAAATTTATAGTTTTTATAAATAACTTTTGATCTAGAATCCAAATAAAATAATTTTAATATCTTTAAATTTGTTTCATTAAGACAATTCAAATAGTATCAAAATTATTTCATTTGGATTACTAGGTCACAAGATAAACAAGTTTTTGTAAAATTTTATATATAAACTTACAAATTTTAAAAATTTTTTTTACTAAGTCTAGGGAAGAAGAGTTAAAAGCTACTATGTAGAGGTATATAACATTATTTATGAATACTCTCTTATATAGTATAGTTAAATCAGAATTGGAAAAAATATATTATAAATCTCTGCTATATTAATATTTGAATACTATTATAAATTTTAAAAATATAACTAACCTATTATAAATTCAAATTATTATAAAGTTTTGAAAGGTTCTTGACTTTGTATAATTTAGCAAAAAAAAGATCTTTGCTTTGAATTAGATTCACATATATATAGATTATAAAATAGTTCCTGCTATTAGTTAATTTAATTCTACTATAAATTAAGTTAGATTTAAAATATTCTAAATAGAAAATTAACAAATATAAAATATAAGCAAGGTTAGGAAAAAATTGAGATAAAGCTCTGAAATAATATAAAATCTTTAGCAACTATATATTACAAAGTGTTTAACTATAATGATTTGTATTATTACTAGGCTCTTAAAAGTGCTTGTAAAACCAATTTACTTAATTATAAAAAAGTTCTGATTCACAGAGAATATAAATGAATTTTTTAGAATAAGAGTCTATAATAGAGTTTTTTTTGGTTCTGTTAAATTTCTCTAAGTACACTCTATAAGTGCAAATACTTTCTAAATATATACTCAAGTGCTAGCCCAAATATATACTTAACCTCTATAAATGCACTTTTCTTATTATTCTCTACATGCATGTTATTAAAGTGTGGTCCCAAAGCGTGCACTTAGAGAGATCTAACTGTATAGATAGACAATATAGAAATATTATAAGATTATAATATATAAAAACTCTAACCCTAATTCTAATTTAAACTATAACCCTAACTATTTATAAATTTCTTAAATTAGTCAAATACTGTAGTTATATATATATATATATATATATTATATATATATTATAATCTTATAATATTTCTAGATTACCCACCTATACTATAGATTAACCCTATTGTTGATATATGTGCCTTTAAAGCTTTGTAATATTTTTAATCATTAATTAATCGGGCAACCGTAAATTGATAAATTAATAATGTAAATTAATTACGTAACGTTATAAGACTAATTGTGGCCGCGCCACCAATCAAATAATTGTAATTAATTTCCACTACAATCAATTATTCGATACGCCTGTCTTTTTCTAATACAATAAATGGTTTTTATTTTTTATTTAATACTGCAAGATTGTTTATTTATGTAATATCTAATTATCAAGTTTCTTAATGTCTTTATTCAATATATTTATACACAATCATTACGTGTAATAGTTTCCTTCTTAATTTCAGCTGACTCATTGCGTATAAACTTTCATAATACCCAACGAAAAGTAGGACTCTAAAACTTGATTTGTACTTGTTCGTTTTGTGTGCTTCACCATTGATATAGACGGCCCTCTTTCATAATTAGATATGATAGTGCACGAACGACTTAAAACGTTCGATTCAATTATCGCGGCGTGTATATAAAATTTTATCGCACGCAATAACGGATGTTCGCTCTTTTTACACCTGTACCAAGTTAAATGCCAGATAATTCAAACGAATGAAGATCTTGCTGATCATTTGTATCAACTATTCAAGGGTGCCTGATACATTTTTATTGTGTAAGATTATATTAAAAAAAAAACGAAACCACACAAGCTGCACCTAGCTGTATAAGAATTTCGTTGATTTGCTAATCAAAAAAACTAAACATTACAATATGATGACACTATCAAGAAACGGAAAATCCATCATAATCAAGACTTGTTCATCTTCAAGCATTAATGTCCAAGGGATTCCATCCAAAAAATACGTTGAAGCTAGTATAAACTATCTGACATCCGACTTTAAACTATTTTCGATAAGATTCATGAACCCCAAAAATCTTCGCTGCTATTAATTCTTCAATCCATTCGACATTTCCACACGCAACAACTCGTTGCATATTATCAGTATTTTTCAGTTCCTCCCACCTTGTCACTACAAACCCCATTGCTGCAGATTTTAGACACATATCACCCATCTGCCATCCAAGTAATAAGATCTCATCCCAATTGTCACTATTTACATCTTCTGCGATTCGATTGGCAAGTATTTTCCCTAATGTTTCTAGGCCCAACATATCAGCCTTCATATAGGCAGCTTTCAAACAATCTAATTCAAGATTTTCTTCCAGTTTTCCTGTGTACAAATAATACATTATACAGCGAAAGATTTCGTATTCGACCTCCTTGATAGGAATAATCTTGCTTCGACCTTCAACCCATTGTCCACTTAGCAAAGATTCAAAATATTTCGACTGTGCAGCCAGAATTATTCGATGCGCTTTGATACGAGCTCCACATGGAAAAGAGAATTCTACATCGCAGAAACGTTCATCATCAAAATACTTTGGAATCTGAGCGGCCAGAGG